ATGGTTGGCAGCTGTAGTATTGCAGGCATTGGCAAGTGCTCGTGGCCTTCCAATAGCAGCGCGGGCGCCACGGCATTGATGGACATGATGTTGGCGAACGGCAGCACCAGCACCAGCAGTAGCAGCAGCAGCACCACCAGCAGCAGCACCACAACCAGCAGCAGCAGTAGTAGCAGCACCAGCAGTAGCAGCAGCAGCAGCAGCAGCAGCAGCAGCAGCAGCAGTCACCGGCAACAACAGCCACAACAGCCACCACATCAGCCACAGCAGCAGCACATCTGGTCGTGCGAACTGACGGAAAGCGGACAGGCGCTCGTGTTGGCGCAAGACGCCAGCCGTGAGGTGATTGCTGAGAAGCAGGAAGACCAGACAAACGTGTTCTACGGCGTTGTTGGCGGCGCTTTCCTGTTGCTGTTTGTGCTCCTGGTTGCGCTGCACTCCAGATTCCAAGGTGTGAAGCGCATCGCACTGGTGCTGTTGATTCTCTTTGATGTGGCCACTGACTGGGGTTTCTGGGGCCTGGTGTTGACCACAGACGACTTCCGAGACAGCTACCAGTGCGAAACATCCTTTCCAGTGTACCGTTGCGAGGGCGCGGGTGCTGGCTTCTCATGCGACAGCTATGGTGACTTGAAGAGCGTGTGCGGCGGCCTGCCGTTTGCTCCAGCAGATGCAACAAACGAGTGCGAGTGCAACAGCAACACCTGCTCATTCGGGTATGTGTCCTTTGAGGAAACAGGCAGCTTTGTTGTTGTTGAAGATGCGTGTGACTTGTCACTGGACACGGACGACACTGGATTCGTCAAGTTCCAGCTGCAGTCGTGCACGACTTTTGGGTCTCTGGACAATTTCGCCAACCACACCTGCGGTTACCTAAACGCCAACGACCCGAATGCGACGGGCAGCAGCGAGTGCGAGTGCTATGGCGGGCAGTGTCGCGTGGTGCCCGGTGCAAGCGGGACGTGCCGCGGGTTTTACGGCGGTAACTACGAGGCGCTGGTGTGGGCGGCGTTTGCCTCCGTCGTTGTCGGCACCGTCATCGCCTTGATTGAGGCGGGTCTCGAATGGCAGAGCCAGCGCCGCGTCCGCGTCCACCTCACGTCCCAGCTCGCTGCCAGAGACGGTGGCCAGCGTGAGCAAGAGGCGCAAGAGGCACAAAAGGATCAAGTTGAGCAAGATGGGCAAGGTTGCATGGATGTGGTCGAGGAGGATGGGGGTGGTCAAGACGACAAAGGTGCATCGTTTGACACCGGAGTCCCGTTTGACGCCTTTGGTCAAGATCGGCAGGTTGGCGGCGGTGGGTTGGAGCTGGAGCCTGGTGGTGGTGCTGACGATGGAGATGACGAGGAGGACGGTGGAAACGGGGATGACAAGGGTGACAGGGTCGACAGGGGTGACAAGGTCGACAGGGTTGACATTGTGCTTGGTGTCCTGAGGCTGCTCCTGGAGGACTTGCCGCAGCTAGGTGTGCAAGTGATCTACCTCACCGTGCTCGGGCAGGAGCACGAACCCACGGCGATCCTGAGCCTCGTCGTGACCTGTGTCTCCATTGTGGTGACGGCAACTTGGATGCTGAAGAAGTGTTGTGGCTGTTGCGCTGGCGAGCGGCAAGAGTTGTAAGTTAGAACGAGAGAGTAGGGGATGTGTGTGTGTGTCTGTGTGTGCGTGCGCATTTGTACGTGTGTGTGTTTGTTTTACTTCATGTGTGCAAATGTATGTGCACCTTAAACAATCGTGCACCGTGGTTGCAATGCCTCCGTTTATGCTACGTCGTTGGCACTCGAATTAACAGGAGTGCGACGCAATTGTAAGACATCATGTTGTAAGGCATGTTCCAAGTTGTGACACTTGCTCATCTATCACAAAAAAATAGACCAATCACCAGGCTTCCGACACAAGCAAGCCAGCCAGTAAGGTGAAAGAAAGCAGAAAGCATGTCGCACGGACGAGCAGCAGCGTAAGATCCTGTTGATGACAAAGGCGGCAGCAGGTATCCAGCCGTGCAATGAGCACATCGGCGTGTGGGCAACTCGTGGGCTGGATGTCAGTCATGACAGGAAGCTGATCAGCAAGGCCGCAAGCAGAGCACCAACTGCTCCAGCCCCAGCTACGATGAGTGGAGACGAGAGGATTGAATACCACGGCATCGAGAGCGTCGCAGTCTCTTTGGCCAGTGTCCCTCGGGCCTCTCGCAGCAGCTTGTTGGCGGTCCCGATTTGGACGTTGCGCGCTTCCAGTCGAGTGACTGACAGCTCGTTGTCACGGACCAGCTCCAGCAGATCCACGAGTTCAACGATCCCCAGGGATGCCAAGGCCGAGGTCAATTCTTGAAGCCCTTTGCTCTGCAGCCAGTCGCGAAGGTCAGGCTGTCAAATACCAAAGGCAACGCCAGCATGGGGCATGAGAGAGAGAAAGCGTGTGTGGTGATATGTGCGTGCGGGTGAGTGTGCATGTTCGTGCGCGTGAGCGTGCATGTTCGTGTGTGTGTGTGTGTGTGTGTGTGTGTGTGTGTGTGTGTGTGTGTGTGTGTGTGTGTGTGTGTGTGTGTGTGTGTGTGTGTGTGTGTGCATGTTCGTGTGCGTGCGTGGGTGCGTGAGCGTGTGTGTGTGTGTGGTGATATGTGCGTGCGCGTGAGTGTGCATGTTCGTGTGCGTGTGTGGGTGCGTGGGTGCGTGAGCGTGCGTGAGTGCGTGAGTGTGAGTGCATGAGTGTGTGTCTTCGGGTAGGCGAACGTGTGGACGGCAGTATGGAAAGCGAGAAACCCCTGCAGTTGGGTAGCTGGGATCCACATCACCCTCATTCATGTTGACATACCTGAATATTGAACAAAGGAGATGCAGCGACGGGGGACACGGGTTCAAGCATCGGCGAAACACTGGGCTGTCATGATGTATCAACAGACACGTTCGCACGTGAGTCCACTTGCTCGCATTGTTGCATTCGTAGGTTTGTGGGCGTTGCAAGGTGTTGTACAAGCAAAACTTGAGCTTACACACGCACTCTTTCATCCTCGAATACGCCACTGTTGTTGCCAGCATCGTCGTCGTCGTCGTCTTCTGCTTCTTCTTCTTCGTCGTCGTCGTCATCATCATCATCATCATCATCATCATCGCTGTCGTCTTCTTGAGCCACCTGTCAAGGCAAGTATGCCCGCATACAAGTTGATGAGAGAATGCAAAGGGGGCCGACGGTGCACGGATCCTGAAACAACGCGAGTACTGTGAATCATTACATGAAATAAATGCCAGTCACGTTCATACCACAGAGCTGACGCTGCCCGCAGCAGCGGATCCATTTCCAGAGCTCCCACTTCCAGAGCTCCCGGACGCCTAGCAAGCACAACAACAAGAACAACAACAGCAAGCCATCATCATTGTGCGCACGCGCGTACGTGCCAATACGCGTGTGTGCGTGTTGAGTCAATACAGTATGAGCCGATGCCACTCTCACGCTTTCACAGCAAGAACATAACCACACCCCAACCACACACACACACACACACACACACACACACACACACACACACACACACACACACACACACACACACACACACACACAGTCGCGCACATTGCCTTCCTCTTCCTCTTCCGACATGGTTCGACGCACAAGCTGGGCCTTGACTTGGTTGCGGAGCTTGGCTTGTTCGTTCTCGATGCCTGCGTTCACCCTGTGGACCTCCGCTTCAAGCATGCGTGTCAGGTACATCAACTGTTCTCTTCTGGTCTCGTGGTGATGGGCAAAGTCTTCAACGAGGCGATCAGAGTGCAAGATCGCCTGCACTACTCCTTGCACGGTCTTGTGCTGCTCTGGTGCGGGCAAGTGAAGCACTTTTGTGATGAACTCGTCCAGCACCTCAGCCGTTTTCTTGCTCACCACGCTTGGCAGAGCCACTGCTGCCAGCCTCCGCATCGCGTCAACTGAGTCGTACTCACGAGCTGTTTCCCTGCTCATGTTGCTCTCAGGGTACACGTCCCAGGAGCTGCCAAGGAGGAATGGCACGATGCAGCGAAGGCGGATGAGCTCTGGCTGGTTCCGCCGACGCTCATACAGCTCAAGCATCAACATCCACATCAGGAGCACAGCGTGGCAGGTGTTCTCGTGATCAAATGCCCCCAGGTGGGCGAGAGCTGGTGCACTCAACACTGGGCAAGCAACAAGTGATCTTGTAATGCTCTCCATCAGGAGGTGTTTTCCAGAGCGATCAAGGCTGTTGAGGCTGCCCGTGAAGCTAGCCATTTTGACGGCCGGGCTCAGGTACTCTCGAAGAGTGACCATCAAGCCGCTGTGAGGATGACAAGAAGACCACCGGAACGCCAAAGTGCAGTCAAAACACATTTCATCTTTGTGAGTCAAGGTGAAACATACGAGCTACAACGCGCAGCCCGCGGTGCACCGCACGTGATGTCCAACAGATACACACACACACACACACACACATGCATGCATGCACACATATCACACATGTGCAGACGTCTCCCCCTCCAACACACACACACACACACACACACACAAACACACACACACATACACACACACGTACACACACAGACATACAGACACACACAGACACACACAGACACGACTTACCCATGGCAGACAACGACGTCACGCCGCAGTTGTGCTTCAAACACAAGAAGCCCAATGACACGGGCGCAGCTGGCATCGTTCAAGACAATCTCTGCCACGGCAGTGTTGCCCGGGTGATCCCACTCCTCGTGGGAAGCAAAGGGGCTGGCACTCGAAATGTCACGTCTGCTGAAGTCCACAACCGCCACGTGCGCATCATGCCCTTGTTGCAGCGACTCTCCTCTGTGCCGCTCGTCCACGACTGGATAGGGGTTGCTGTAGACGACATCACATGCCAGCACGATGGAATAGCTCTTGTTTGGATCCAAGTTGAGGCAGTGCAGGGCTTCGGGTATGTGTTTGCCGCTACATGGTTGTGAATACGCGCATGAATAGTCCAGGTCTGGTGTGAAGTAGAAGCCGGCACCATGCCAGCCTGGGTCTGTTTTGTGCAACTTGGCGAAACCGTTGCAAAGAATGCTCTCCAACGCATCAAAGGAGCGGACGCCGTGGAAGACGCGCTGCGTTCGGACCTGGGGGTGTTCGGGGTGTTGGCGCAGCCAGTGGGTGTTTGGGGTGTCGAGGAGCCCGTAGTGGTTACCCGTTGTGACCCGCAACAGTGTTGCGCGTTGGTGATCGGTCAGGTGCGGCTGATGCTCAGGTTGGCACTGTCGAGATGCTGCAATCGCCTCGGCGTCTGCAAACTTGGACTGCTGCGTTTGCGTGGGTTGGCGCACCGCAATGCGACTGATGCGGTGTCCAAACGGAGCAAGGCTAGTGGCCTTGGCACCAGTGATTCCACCTGCTGCATGCAGAAACTGTTGAGGATTGATTGGGGAACGTGACATTGGGGCGCGTGAGTGAAGTGAGGAGGAAAGCGACGTCCAAACACCAGTGTCTCCTCTTCGACTTGGCATCAACTGAATATCGCCCCTGCATCCTTTCAATCAGCGATCTCCGTCTCTGTCTCTCTCTCTCTCGCTCACACACACACATGATGGCTTGTGACGAGTGCAACACACAACACAACAACCTTGTCGAGTGCTACTTTTTCACACGGCAACGGCTGCTTGAGCTTACATGCGATAGAAGGCCGTGGTGAGCTTCTGGTGTCATCGCAGATGCGATCATTCCAAGCTCTCCACAGTCCACAAACGACATCTGTGAACGCAGCGCCGGTGGAAGAGATGGCGCACCCATCTTGGCCCTTCCACCGTGGCACAAGCCCAGCAACGAGCGACGAAGCAAGCAGCTGCACAGATAGAATGGCAAACATCAACACCGTCGAGCAGCAACAGCAACAGCCCTCCACTTTTTCCATGCCGAGTCACCTGTGGCGGAGTCATTTCGACGCAGTCATCGTCTGTCACCATGCGCGAGCAAGCTCGGCCAGCCTGGTTTGCTTGCTGCTTCTGCTTCTTGTTCTCCACTTGCTTGCGCTGCTTGCATTGTGTTGACACGAGTGTGCAATGATGTATGGGAGGAACAAACAACGCACGCATGGGCAGGAGGCAACACCAGTCAGTAAGGCACACAAGCCCCGGGTATGGAAACGATGATGAATGGTAGGGTCAAACGCACACGTAGGAAGACAGCAGACGGCAAGACAAGCTCAATTGAGGAGCCTCAAGTGAGGCAGACAAGGCTTGAAACGAAAAGCCAATGATTGGGTGCACGCGTAGGCAGACTTCAACAACAACACACACACGCACACAGACAAACAACCAAACACACACACACACACACGCACACAAACAAGCACAATAGCAAACAAGCACACAAACACACATAAGCAAACAAACACACACACACACACACACACACGTTCTAAGAAGCAAACACAAGGATTGCACGAACAAGCACACAAGACGGATCCTCAATGGCAAGGTCAATCACGGGCACCCTGGCAGCTTCGTTCCACTGCTTGTGGGACTTGAGGATTTGTGCCTGATGGATGTCGCCGCTGGCAAAGTCAACGACTGTCACGCGCGCGTCGTGACCGGGTGTAAGCAGTGCAGGCGAGGCATCACTTTGTTGCAGCTCGCGTCTGACCGGAAACGGGTTGCCGTATTGCACGTCGCATGCCAACACGATTCGGTACGACTTGCCCGGCTCCATTTGAAGACACCGCAGATCAGGTGGCATGTGCTGCCCATGTTCAAGCTTGCATTCCTTAGTGAAGCCGAGAGCGTAATCGAGGTCTGGGGTGAAGTAGAACCCAGTCCCAAACCACGGCTTGTTGGTGGGCTGATGCAACTGCGAGATGTCCCCGCCCAACACCCCGAGCACAGCATCAAGGCACGTTACGCCATGGAACACGCGCTGAATGCGAATGGGTGGGTCATCCAGCAACAGCGCCGGCGCCAGCATGCAGTAGAGGTGCGGCCACGTCGCATACTCAAGCACAGCCTTGTCCTCCGGGTCCGTGGCCTCGCCGCTGATGGTGTCGTGCGGATAGGTTGGCGAGAACGGATGGTTGGTGCTTGTCAAATGGCCGCGAAAGCGCACTTTGTTGAGGTGGAGGGCCCCATTGAACGCCATCAGCTTTTGGTCGCACCACGTGATGGCAACAGCGTGAATACGGTGGCCAAACGGCTGCAGAAGGTTTCGTTGCGCAGCGGTAGAGCCGCCAGCCTGGCGTAAGAGCTGGTAACACAACAGAGAAAGCCAGAAAGGGAAACGGGGTAGAGAAGCAGGGGATGGAGGAGCAAAGGCGAGGGCAAAACAGGTAGCATCAATAGGCGAAGCGTGAGCAAGCGAACAGAGCAGATAACGGCACAGATAATTCAAAGCAGAGTGAAGGCGTGTCATCCCACGCTTTCACAACCGACAACACACTCATGCAACCCCTCACACACACACACACACTCTCTCTCTCTCTCACACACACACACAGACATAGACAGAGAGACAGAGAGACAGACATACAGACACACAGAGAGAGAGAGAGAGAGAGAGACAGACACACAGACACACAGACACAGACACACACACACACACACACACACACACACACACACACACACACACACACACACACACACACACACACACACACACACACACACACACACACACACACACACACACACACACACACACACACACACAAAACAGACGAACCAGTGCCCGCTAATTTCGCGGTCCTCTCTGGTCATGTCGACTTGGTCCGGGTCAGCCAAGTCGAGTGGTGCAATGTGCACGGACGAGCGCGTCGAGAGCAGCCTAGCACACGCGTAAGTTACCAAAGTCAACCAGATGAGCACATTCTCTGGTGCTGAAGAAGAAGGCGCGGCACAAAAATGACAGAGCAATGATACACAAGCGGGTGATTATGCTGTGCGTGTGGGACTTAGGGTACACACCTGAGATATTCCAAATCCTGGTTGTGAGCCAGGACAGCAGCCAAAGCGACCGCGCCTTTTGGCCCAATGTCGTTGAGGTAAAGGCTGACATGACAGTACAGAGAGATGTAAGGAAGTGGTGGATGAGCACATGTCACAGCCACCAATAACAGCCACTGCAGGTACCAGTCCCCTTCCATTACGTCAGTGTAAGAACGCACTCGAGCTTGTGTAGGCCCGTGTTGCTTCTGAGACCGCCGGCCAAGGCAGCTGCGCCGTCGTTGCCGATGCTGTTTCCACTCAGACTAACACACACACACACACACACACACACACACACACACACACACACACACACACACACACACACACACACACACACACACACACACACACAAAACGTGAGTATTGTATTCAGACAACGAGGCGTAACAGGCGACCGACTTCGCACATGGGACAACATACTGGAGTGTTGTCAATGAGTCGTTTTCGCTCAGTATCGTGGCCAGAGCCTCTGCTCCACCCGGGCCAATGAAGTTATCTGACAGGCTGTTGCGAGTGATGACGTCAAGTGTCCACGGCATGTGTGTGTGAGAACATGTCTCGTCATGTGCTGAACGTGAAAACCTCACGCCATTTCACGCGCGTACAAGGAACCACCATCACTGGCAAGTGCATGGTGTGGCGCAGAAGCTCTTACAACAGCGTTCGCAGTGTCGTGTTGTGGCGCAGCATTTCGGCCAGCGCCTTTGCCCCTTCGGGTCCAATGGAGTTGTTGCGAAGCCTGCGAAGGCGTCATCACAACAGAAGCGGGGAGTATGAGCGACTGAATTGTTCGCTCAACCGCCGTCAACGACTTCGCACACACACACACACACACACACACACACACACACACACACACACACACACACACACGCACGCACACACACACACACACACACACGCACACACACACACACACAAATAACTGACGAGAGTTTGGTGATGACATGGTTGTCCATCAACAGCTCTGCCATGGACGCTGCGCCTTGATTTCCAAAGGAATTGTTGATGAAACTGTTGATGCGTACGCGATCGTAGTCGAGCGAGGTGTGTGTGTGTGTGTGTGTGTGTGTGTGTGTGTGTGTGTGTGTGTGTGTGTGTGTGTGTGTGCGTGCGTGTGTGTGTGTGTGCGTGTGTGTGCGTGAGTACGCTTGAACGTGGCCCCCACACCCAACACATCACCCATGCCACACTCTGTTTCACACAATCCACGAACCGCAACTCTGTCAGCACTGTGTTGTCCCTCAGGCCATGTGCAAACGAAGCAGCACCGCCAGGGCCAATGGAATTGTCGCTCAAACTGAAGCGGACACAGCAGATCAAGTCAACGCAGTTGTCGTGAAGGAACAAACATGTTAATGCATTGGGAGGAACCCCATGGTCGTGATGCGTAGTGTCCATCCCAACTCATCTCAGACACACGCGTCTCCATCCATCTCCACCATTCATCAGGCAACTTGACGTTCACAAACACTTCATCCTTGAGGTAGGACATCCATTTACATGGACACACAACCGGCTCCCTGATATTCTACAATGCTGACCTCAACGCCTTGAGGCGGGTATTGCGGCGGAGAGCAACAGCGATTGCGCGGGCTTCATCATCTCCGAAGCTCCTGCTGCTGAGACTGGATACGTGCAGTTGAAACGGCACAACGGGCGGGGAACCACAAGTGCGGGTTTGGTTTGTTTTGCATGACACCATGGTGAAGAGTGCTATGAGTTGGCGGATCAATTTCATCTCTCTGGTCCAGCATCTCGACAAGAGGACAAGGCAGAACAGCAGCAGCCCACCCACCATGCACGCATGGGAGGTGGACTTACTCCACATATTCGCTGCATTTGTTGTTGGCGATGGCGCGAAGCAGCTGCTGCCCTTCCTCCGTTAGCTTGGTCGCTGCCATAAGCTCCTCCACCTCCTCCACCATATCCTCTGGTGGCGGCTGGTGCATGACGGCGCCAGCGCTCTGCTGTCCTTGTTTGGATTTTCTTGCAGCGGAAAGTGCGGGTGGGGCTTGCCATCGAAAGAAATATCGTCGTCATTTCAACAAATGTACCATGGTCACGATGTGACTCCGCATTTCAGCACTTGCGACACTTTCTCCCACACATGCTTCACTTGTTGCTTGCTTCTTGTGTTGACACTCCGTTTTGTTTACAGGTTCGAGTCGCATCACATCACCCCACCCACAGCATGCAATAACAACAACAACAACAACAACAACAACAACAACAACAACAACAACAACAACAACAACAACAACTTAAACAACAACAACAACAACAACAACAACAACTTAAACAACAACAACAACTTAAACAACAACTTAAACAACAACTCAAACAACAACTTAAACAACAACTTAAACAACAACTTAAACAACAACAACAACAACAACAACAACAACAACAACAACAACAACAACAACAACAACAACAACAACAACAACAACAACAACAACAACAACAACAACAACAACAACAACAACAACACCACCACCTCACCCCACCTCACCTCACACCTCACCCCACCTCACATCACACCAGCGACAAGAACTCGCGCACCATCCTCTGCACCTCCTCGCGTTCACACCCCAACACAAACTCCTCAAACACCCTCTGAACTTGCTCAGCATCCTCTTCCCCAGCGTTTCCATCACCACCACCACCACCACCACCACCACCACCACCACCGCCACCGTTGTTGACGCCATCCTCCCGCACTGCGAGTAGCCGCTCCTTCTTGACGATGTGGCGCTGGAAAGCGGTGATGATGCGCCCAATCTCCCGCCTGGGCACGCCTTGCTGCGCAAACAGCTTGCCCGAAAACTTGGCCTTGAGCGCAACGCGTCGGTGCCGCTGCTGCACGATGGCGTCCACCTCCGCTTGCTTGCCAAAGTACGCAATGGCCTCATGCTGGCGGTTCACCGTCACCTCGCTTGCCTTGGCGCTCACACACTGCCGCATGTACATCACCCCTGCATCACAGGCGCTCTTGTCCTTCTCTTCCTCGCGCACACGCTTGTCCTTCACGCCCTCCTCAACCATGCGCTCCCCCTCTTCTTCCACCTTCTCCGTCTCTTCCACCTCCTCCTCGCCCTCCTGCACGTCCTCGAAGTTGCTGTGAAGGGACTGGATGAATGCGAGGTAGAATGGACGGGTGCGTGCGCGGTGGCGGTGGCGGTGGTTGAGGGTGGCAAAGTCTGCTGGGTTGAAGAAGCGGCATGTCTTGACCCAGGCGATGATGTCTGCGTTGGTGGCAAAGCCGTGCTGGAAGGCGTCGTGGCTCATGCCCAGGAACTCGCAGACAGCGCGCGGGTCCTGAGTGAGCGTGATGCGGCCGAGGCGGTGCGTCATGTCGAGGGGCGCAGCCGTGTCGACGGTGCAGTGGAGGAGGTCGAGCCACAGGCCTGCGTGGCCGTACTTGAGCCCGTTGGCGGCCATGATGCGGCCCAGCAGCCCGCCCACGTCCGCGTACGCAAAGTAGAAGTCGGCCATCTCCAGCGCGGCCTCGCTCTCCATCACAATAAAGTCAATCTGGAACGCGTCCACGTCAAACGAGTGCACGTAGCCGTTGGAGACAACCTCCTGCGGCGCAAACACACGGCGGATCAGGTCGCGCCACGCCCGGGTGCTGTGCGGGCGGTCCTCCATGCGGGGCACAAGCAGCACGTCGAGGTCGCCAAAGGACTCCTTCTCTGGCAGCTCGCGCACCACGCGGGCATCCTGTACGTGTGGCTTCACTCGGCTCAGCACATGCTCCTTGATGCGCCCGTACTCCTTTCGCCCACGCCTGCGTGTCTCCACCTCCTTCAGCGCACTTCCTCCCATGGCGTGCGTGTGTGTGTGTCGTGTAGGTGGGTGGGTCGGCGTGTACCTGTGACTGCACTGTTGAAAATGCACACAGGGGGCAAAAGCCCTGCCTGCTGCGTGGTGTGCGTGCTGAGTTACGCGAACGTGTTGCATAACCACACCCTGGTGCTGTGGCGTGTCTGCTGTGGTGCTTTCGTGATGTCACACTGGACAATCACACACACACACACACAACAGCCACACATCATCATCGCGATGTGTGTGATGAGAGTCGCGGTGGTGAATCGCAGAGCATTCCGTCAAAGAAGGGAGGCGGCAACCTCGCTCGCTCAGCGAGCGAGCGTCAACCACACCACCATCAACCATCATCGTCATTGTGGAGAATTAATGTATGATTTGCATCGATTTTCTAGCCAAAGGCTGACCAACAGCCGCCAACGGAAGCACAATCAGCCAAAAGCCATTGTTTCCTTGCTGGCTGTTCACCTTCACGATGATGATGGGTGTTGCGCCTGTTATTGCTTGCTGCCTGGTGTTGAGCCTCCTCGCCCTGGGCGCGGTGGCGCAGGATGTGGACGTGACGGTGTATCCTGGACGGCTGTTTCGGGCAGATCTCTCGCTTCAGTTTGGCGCTGCAGCTAGCGTGGAAGCGATTGCGACCCTCACCGGCAACCCAGCACCGCCAGCGTGGCTGCGGGTCAATCTCCTGCCCATCATCTACGGCCAAGTTCCCGACGACATTGCGGGCGACAGGTTTTCGGCCGCCATCCTCCTCCGCATCAACGACCAGCCCGTCACCCGCACCCTCAACCTCATGGTTGACAGAACACAGGGTGCGCTGTGTGTGCTTGTTTAGCTGTATGGGTGTGTGCCTGCGTGTGTTTCTCTGCTTTGTTGCGTGATCGTCAGCAGGGCTGCTAAAGTGTTGTCTCGACTCTTCCACGCACACACTCACATACACACACACACACGCACACACACACACACACACACTCACACCGTCATTCACCCTCTCATTCACGCATTTCTTCTCCTTCGCAGGCCTGCCTCGGGTGGCGTTTGAGGTGCATGCGACAAATGCTAATGAGACACAGCTGGTCGGGGACAGATACGATGATCTGGAGACGGCGGTTGGCATCACACGTGCACGGCTGTCGGCAGACACGGGGCAAGTTGGATCCGGGGTCTTGTTTGTCAGAAGCGTTGCCCCCTTTGAGACGGATCGCCGCAACATTAACCCTATGACCTCCAACCCACCGCTTCCCGTCAACAACGCCTACATCAACGGGTGCGTGCCTGCGTGTGTTGTTCGTGCTTGACTACTTGTCATTTCCCTCAACCACTGCTGCTCGCTTGCTTGCAAGCATGCAAAATGGGTTTATGGCTCTTAACCTCAGCCTCGGCCTCACCCTCACCCTCACCCACACCCTCACGCGTCTGATCTACTTGCACCATGCTTTTCGCCCGCAGCACGGCGTGGCTGACGCTGGGGAGCAAACTGAGTGATTCTCAGTTGACGTGTGCGGAATTGGAGGCAACAGCCGGGTCGTTGTTTGCAGCGCAAGGGCTTCAGCTTGACTTTGACCTCTGCACGCCCTTTCCCATCTCCACCAACGCAACCATCGAGTGCGTTCTGTGTGTGTGTGTGTGTGTGTGTGTGTGTGTGTGTGTGTGTGTGTGTGTGTGTGTGTGTGTGTGTGTGTGTGTGTGTGTGTGTGTGTGTGTGTGCCAAAGCCACCCTCTCATCATCGTATTCATTGTACGTGCGTGCTGAGGCATGCTTACGTCCACTACTCGCCTTTCCTTTACATACTTGCTCCCTTTTCATTAAGCACCTTCCACTCACCCCCTCTCCCTCCTTCCTAACCCCCATTCCTGTCGCACAGCCGCTCCCGGGTGCTGGCCACAGTGGAGATGAGGACGTGGGCACGCACGAAGGACGACTTCAACGAGACGATCATCCCGGCGTCCGTCATTGCCGCCTTTATCTTCTTTCCGTTTGCCCTCATCTTCATCATCCACTACTTTGCCAGAAGCAGCGACGAAGCCATCGAACAGCAGATGTGCGTGCGTGTGTGTGTGTGTGTGTGTGTGTGTGTGTGTGTGTATGTGTGTGTATGTGTGTGTATGTGTGTATGTGTGTATGTGTGTATGCTTTTTTTTTGTTCGAGCTCAGCTTTGCCTCGTCCCAAGCCTCTGACCACACAACCGTGTAGCACAAAACATCTTGCTTCTCCATCCCCCTCCTCCACCACTTGACGCGCTCCCTTTGCTTGCCTGCAAGCACCAAATACCTGATTTACTCAACCCTCACTCCCTCCCTCGTCACGTCACCCCTTTCCCTCCGTTTCTCAGGCATCGCCTTGTGAAGAACATGCTGCGGAGGAATCGTGCGCACACGCTGCGCGTCATCTCGGACGACAACACCATCGCCGCTGCATGGTGCGTGAATCGGCCTTCCTTCTTGCTTTCTTGTCGTGTCTTCTTTGCCAGTCACATTTTGTGACCACAAAACCGCCGCAAGCCACACACGCTCACTGTGTCCACCTGCTGTCCACCTTGGCACCCACCCTCAGGCTGGCCAACAGCGAAGAGGAGGAGGTGGTGCCTCCTCGCCTGAGCACCGTGTCAAAGCCCTCAAACACCTCCCTGCCAACAAGCGAGCACAGCCGCAACCTGCGCTATCGCACACACACCCGACCACCCACCTACCGCCCGCCACCCCAGCACGACTTTTGAACTGACAGCTTTCATCCCACAACTGCACGCACAACACACACACACACACACACACACACACACACACACACACACACACACACACACATACACACACAACACACACACACACACACACACACACACAGCCTGGGTTCCTCTGCCCTGCGGCAACAACATCTGCTCATACTTTGCCCCTCTCCCATCCATCCATTCGTAATCGACATTGCATTGCTGCTGATTGTGGGTCTTCATGTGGGAAACAAGCCATACACAATCAACGAATACGAAAGCGCACGGACACGGCAAGCAAACCAGTGTGGGACAGGAAAAAAAAATCAACACGGGAAGTCAGCAGACGGGGCAAACCACAACTCGCACTCCAAACGACAAGTGAACAAAGCAATGCAAGCGAACAAAGCAATGCAAGGAACTCAAGCACAACACAACACTACACAACACAACACTACACGAGCACAGCAGAGAACGACACAGGCACAACAGCACACGCCCCCGTTTGAAATGCACAGACGCAACGCAACACTCAGGCGCTGCTCGCGTCGGTCTGGAAGTGGCGTGGGAAGATGGACATGACGCGCACCCAAAACTCAACGAGCTCGGCACTCGTCGCCTTGCAGAAGTACGTGCGGTCAAACGTCTGGTTGGGAGTGCACAGGGGATGGGGTGAGTTGGTGCGGTAACACAACATAAGGAAGGTGTGTCGACGAAATGTGAGGTGGGAAGGCGGCACGAAGCTATGAAAGGCAAGGCGGTCAATGCCAACAGCGAGTGCTGATCGTAGCAAAGCAGAACACGACCTGACGGCCATGTGCCCACAAACCAACAACCGCAACTCTTTCAAAAACACACCTCGACCATGAAGGTGTTGGAAGAGGACTTGGGCGAGAAGACGCGGATAATCTGGTCCTGTGTACGTTCAAAAACGCAGTTTCATGTGTTGGTGTGCTTTGTTTCATCTCACTTCAAAACCAATCCCAATCCCATAACCCGCCCCAAAGCGAAGCACATTCACAGCCACGCGCCCTTACACATGTTCATGCATGCAAGCAAGGAGCAGCAGTGGCAACGTACGCCTGAGATGACGCCCTTCTCTTTCTTCATCTTCTCGTTCTCGTAGTATGCGATGCACTGCGGGGAGCAAGAGGGGGGGGAGGGAGAGGGGTGAGCAGGAAGAGACAACACAACGAAACAACATGAGCGAGCAGGCAACCCACGAGTTCACAACACGCCCCAACAGCATACACAAAAGCTGTTGCTATTGCACATGCCATTATCACCAGCACCACCAGTACCTTGCGCTTGGCGTCGGCGACAAACCAGCGCTGCTTCCATGCGCGCTTGGAGGAGCCTGTCTTGGAGACGGTGCCCTGCACCCGCGTCGCATCAACCTTCACGCCCTGTGCCATGCAAAGAAAGATGGTGTCAGGGTGTGCGGAGGTCGTACGCAACGGCGATGGATGCGTGAGGGTGTGAGAGTGTGCACGAGGGCACAGGCTGCGATAAAGACCCGTGGCACTGACACCACGCATGGAAACGTTACTACCATCACAACACGTGCCCGCTTACCTCAGGCGGCGCGGCCTTGTACGCGTGCTCGATCCACTTGCTAAAGTCAAACGAGTCGCTGTCCATATCCTGGGGATGGGGGAGAGATGCGTGGTTCAGCACGCAGAATGCGAGTTCAGCACGCAGAATACGAGTTCAGCACGCAGAATACGAGTTCAGCACGCAGAATACGAGTTCAGCACGCAGAACGCGAGTTCAGCACGCAGAATACGAGTTCAGCACGCAGAATGCGAGTATTTCGTGCGGCCTCTCACACGCACAAGATACAACGCAAACCACAACACGACACAACACACAGGCATTCACATTTATACATTCACACATTCATACACACAGCACAGCACAACACAACACCATCCTTTTCTCTCTCGTACCGCGATCTGGAGTTCCTCCTTCTCCGTGGCCTTGCGCAGCTGCTCCTTTGCTTCCTCGACAGAGAGGGCGGCTTCGGCCTTGAGCGCGCGCACCTCCGCCTCGCTCGCCTGGCCCATCGCCTCCTCAAGCATCCGCTGCAGCTCAGACACCTGGCGCCGGAGCAAGGGGAGAGGAGGCAAAGGTGGTGGTGTGCCAAGGTGAGAAGAACACGTTCATCACAGCAAAGCCCCCCAATTGCACGCCACCCTTGATGACAATCACAACAACAACAACTTGCATTGAACAACAGCAACAACTTAAACAACAACAACTTGCATTAGACAACAACAACAACAACAACAACAACAACAACAACAACAACAACAACAACTTAAACAACAACAACTTAAACAACAACAACTTAAACAACAACAACTTAAACAACAACAACAACAACAACAACTTAAACAACAACAACAACAACAACAACAACAACAACAACAACAACAACAACAACAACAACAACAACAACAACAACAACTTAAACAACAACTTAAACAACAACAACAACTTAAACAACTTAAACAACAACAACTTCAACAACAACTTAAACAACAACAACAACTTAAACAACTTAAACAACAACAACTGAAACAACAACAACTTAAACAACAACAACTTAAACAACAACTTACAACAACAACTTAAAGTAAACAACAACTTACAACAACAACTTAAACAACCAACAACAAACACCACCACCGCTGCCCTCATTCACCACCACCACCACCACCACCGTACCCTGCTGTTCTTCTCGTCAGCGTCGCGCTTGAGGCGCTCCATCATCTCCTTGCGCTGGGCAATGGACGCCGCCCGCTGCACGCGCATCTGCTCGGCCTCTGCGCGCGCCTTCTCCATCGCCTCCTTCAGCGTCGCAGCCTCCTCCATCGCCCGGATCTCCGCCTCCCGCGCCTTGTCAGCCTCCTCAAGCGCTTTGGAGCGCTGTGCGTGAGTGCATATGTGTGTATGTGTGTGTGTGTGTGAGTGTGTGTGTGTGTGTGCATATGTGTGTATTTGTGTATGTGTGTATGCGTGTGTGTGTGTGTGTGTGTGTGTGTGTGTACGCATGCGTGTGAGTGCACGTGAGTGCATGTGTGTGTGTGAAGCCAATCTCCGCCAGTACAACGACATCGCAATGGCAGCTCCACGAACACCACGACAGCCTGACAACAATCGCCGCCAACACCACACGCCACAACCGCATCCCCTAGCTCACCTCCTCTTCGGCCATCTCCGCCTGTGCGATGACCCGCTCCTTGTTGATACGTTCCTCCTCAATCCGCGCCAGCTCGGCAACGCGCTTCGCCTCAGCCTCGGCCTTGCGCGCTGCACACACGAAGCAAGAAAGTGAGACTTGGAAAAATGTCAACCACGCCTTCCTGCGCCATACGCACACACAAACACATACGCACACGCACAGCACAAAACACACAAACACAAACACAAACACCACAGCTTAGCATCTTATGTGCGCACCTTCGGCCTCCATGCGCAGCATGTCTGCCTCGCGGGACTTGCGGACCTCCTCTGCAGCGCGCGCCTCCGCCTCCGCCCGCTCACGCTCAAGACGCGACAGCTCAGCAAGACGCGCAGCCTCGGCTGGGTGGTGACGGTGGTGGTGCGCGTGACAGTGAGGGTAATGATCGTATCATGCGACCGTGCGTATCAGCTGTGTTTCCTCACCAACCAACAACAAGAAACCATGGTTCACCCTGACCTGCATTACCACCAAACGCTTCTCCCACTGCCGTCACCACCACCATCATCATCACCACCACCATCATCATCACCACCACCACCACCACCACCACAAACACCACAAACACCACCACCACCATCACCACCACCACCACCACAAACACCACAAACACCACCACCGTTGCCGCCACAAGTTGAGTACACACCGGCCTTTTCCTCGGCCTCCCTGCGCTGACGGGCGAGACGGGCCTCCTCCCGGCGCCGCTTCTCCTCGGCGTCGCGCGCCTCTTCCTCCGCCCGCTGTGCAGCGTCCATCTTCGCCCGCTCAAGGCGACGGCGGTACACTGGCGATGTGGACGTGTGCAAGTGTGGAGGGGGAGGGGGTTGGGGGTTGGAGTGTGGGTGAGGTAAGAATGACAATTGTTCAGTATTTGGGCAAATGAAGTACACACACACACATGAATATACACATGCATACATGCATACACACATGAATCCACACATGCATACATGCATACACACGCACACATACACACATGAATACACATACACATGCACACACACATACACAACGCACCCTTGCGAGCAAAAAAGGCGCGGACAGCGCACTGGACGCGGACGACGTCGTCGTAGTACTTGCGCAGCTTGCCCTCCATCTCCTCCTGGTGGAACCACTGCACCCCAGCAGCAACAACAACAGCACATATGAGGACGGGCATTCAGTGAGAGGGTGAGCAAGGACATCAACGAAACAGGCTCCCTTCCCTCCCCTTCACACACACACACACACACACACACACACACACACGCACACACACACACAACGCGCACACAACGCGCACAACGCACCTTCATGAAGAGCTTTGTCTTTCCGATGATGACGGGCTCGAGTTTGGCGCAGGCGATAATCTTCTTTGCTGCCGTCATGTTCTCTTGCACCCGCGACAGCTGGCAAACCACGGGCAAACCATGACCATGCGAAGTGTGATGGCGGTGGCATGGTGGTGTGAGTACGGGTAGCAGCAGCGCATTGTTCAGATAACAGTGAGACCAACAACAATATAATATGGTGTTTGGGGGCACAGCAGTGCTCTCCAACGCAGGTCCCCACCAGGTGCGTTGGGAAGCCGAGAATCTTGAAGCGCCGCACAAACTCGGCAAACGTCGGGCGCCACGAGAAGCCCTGCACGTGACCGAGTTATGGTGACATTGGTGATGATGTTGGCAAAGATGTGAGAAGCAAGCAACGGCAAGAGCAGGAACGAGCACAGGTGCTACCACATTGCCAGCTTGCTTCATCCACACCCACACCCACACCCACACCCACACCCACACCCACACCCACACCCACACCCACACCCACACCCACACCCGTCCGTATCGTCCTCCAACCTTTCCCTTTCTCCCTCCTCCCTCCCCCTCGTCCCCGTACCTCGCGGCGGATGCGCGTTGCCTCGAGCACGCCCGTGTACCCGAGCTGCGTGCGCACAAAGTCGTCCTCAAAGTCGTCTGGGATCTGGCGCTGGTTCGGCTTGATGCAGCGCACAAAGTGCGGGTAGCACGCCGTCATCTTCTCCACCAGGTCCGACAGCGAGTTCTTGAACTGCGCTCCCAGCGACGGCGCGCGCCTGTTGGCCGTGTTGGCCATTGTGCCGGCGGGTGGCGACACCGCCTCCCCGCGGTGCGTGCGCGTCGCCTCACGTGCGGTGTTGAGCTGCACCTGCCCGAGGTCAGACACGTCGCTGTTGAACACCTCGTTGACGAGCGAGACCTGCGAGCGCTGCAGGACGCCGACAATGTCGGCAGCGAGGTTGTCGCGGTTCTTCTCCAGGAAGTGCGTCGCGTTGTACTCGACCGTGCCGGGGAAGTGGCAGATGGCTATAGGGGAGGAGCAGAGCAGAAGGGAGAAGGGGAGAAGGGGAAAGGGAAAAGGGGGAATGGGAGTGAGGGTCATGGGTAGTTGGTGGTGTGGTTGTGTTGGGGGGGGGGGAACGAGAATAGCAGCGAAACACGTCAAAACACATCAAAACACATCAAAACACATCAAAACACACGCACACACCCACACACACACACACAAGTACACGCACGCACGCGCGCACACACACACACACACACACACACACACACACACACACACACACACACACACACACACACACACACACACAAGTACACGCACAAACACACACAACGCAGCACCCCTCACCAAATGCAGGGTAGCCGCGTGACTTGAGGATCTTGTTGTAAAAGTCGTGGTCGGCGTACTGCTTGTCAATCTTCTCCACAAAGGTGTCATCCGTGGCGCGCGGGAACGTGCACTCCTCATCCAGCAGCGAAAAGATGCCTGCAGGCAACCAACCAAAAGCACGCAGAAGGCGGGGCCATTGTGAGTTTGCGTGTGCCGGGAATACATGAGGGTGAACGCGTTCTTGCTCCACATGAACGAGCACGAGTGCGTGTGCGTGTGTGTGTGTGTGTGTGTGTGTGTGTGTGTGTGTGTGTGTGTGTGTGTGTGTGTGTGTGTGTGTGTGTGTACGGAACGGTAAGGTTATACTACC